GCTCGGGTTCCCAGCTGTCCTCGTGTGATCAAGCAGCGGGGGTCACAGCAGGGCTGTCTCCTCCTCCTCGGTGACTGGTGACCGGGAGAGCCACTTGGCCCAGCCCCTGGTTCTCTGCAGGCAGGCGTGATGGGGGTGCAGAGCCTGCAGCCGGACCCAGAGCATCTGTGGTGGGCAGGGGACAGGCTGGGCTCTCCCCTGGAAGATGAGGGGATGGCGAAGGACCCCCAAAGCCTGAGCAGAAGCAGGAGACTGCTTAAACCTGTGTGACATGAAAGTTGGGGCCAGTCAGGGTCAGCTGACAGCCAGCAGCTCCCTGCAGCGGCTTCGCCCCCTTTGCTCTGTGCTCGGTCCCTCCAGTGCCCACCTTGTCCCTGCGCAGCCCGAATGGAGCAGCAAGTGCAGGACCATGGGCTGCTGGAGCTCTGTCCCGCAGCCGCAGACCCCTCCAGCCTCGTGCAGGGTCCTGCTGCTATCCTTGCTCACACCTTTCCCTCGCTTCTCACCTCTTTCAGATGGCTCTCTACTTCTGCACCGGCGTCCTGAAGAACGAGACCCTCTTTCGCCACTATGCCCTGAACGTGCCCTTCTACACGCACTTCACCTCGCCCATCCGCCGCTACGCAGACCTCGTTGTGCACCGGCTCCTCTCCGCCTCGCTCGGTGGGTGCCGCCCGGCCGCTCGTGGAGCAGCTCTGGGTGCTGCCAGGGGAGAGGGTGGCTGTGCCCAGCACAGGAAGGACCCCCGGGTGCCTGCCATGGGTGCTGGGTGCTTGGGGTCTGCATCCCATGGGGGCAGCTCCCTGGCACATGGGTACCCTCAAATAACAGGGACACGGAGGTGAGCTGGGCACCTGGGTCCAGGGTGCCATGGCATGACTCTGGAGCAGGAGGAAGCATGGGCATGTCATTGTCCCTTGTCCCCTTCTCAGGTGCCAGCTCCCCCATCAAGATGAAGAAAGAGGATATCCAGAGACAGGCAGATCACTGCAACGACAGGAAGATGGCTTCCAAGAGGGTGCAGGAGCTCAGCGCTGACCTCTTCTTCGCCGTCTTCGTCAGGGTAAGAGCCAAGACTATCTTCCCTCCCCCGGCATTTCTGAATTTCCCCCTGAAGGCTCAGCCTAAATGTCACCGGGCAGGGGGCTGTCGGGCTGCCCAGCTGGCCTGGGGGAAGGCAGGCAGGGAGGGGACACAGAGTGACCTCCATCACCAGAGCTCCAGGACCCAGAGACACTGGGGATGCTGGTGCAGTGACAGCCCCATCTCTTGGCAGGAGTGTGGTCCTCTAGAGTCAGAGGCCATGGTGATGGGTGTCCTGAACGAGGCCTTTGATGTCCTGGTGCTGAAGTTTGGAGTCCAGAAGCGCATCTACTGCAATGTAAGTACCTCACACTGACAGTGCCAACGCCACCTCACCAGAGACGGCTGCAGCAGCCTGGCATGGCTGGAGGCGGTGGCTGTCCCGGTGCGCTTCTGTGCCAGCCTCGCAGCTGGCAGAGCTGTGCCCGAGGGACACCCAGAGGGGAGGGAACCTCCCGGGGGTCTCCCCGCTGTACCTCAGCCCCGGGGAAGGCACTATTCGCTGGTTAAAAGGGAATAAAGGCAGATTCGGAGGGACAAAGATCTAGACGGGGCTGAAGCGAGGAAAGGGAGAGAGGCTGGCTGTCATTTCATTTAATCAGACGGTATATCTGGGGCTGTGACAGCACCACTGCAGGCCAGCACCTGCGGTTAGTGACAGCATCTTCTCTTAATAACCTGGTTATATGGCCGGCAATGACATCTTTAAACAGGACATATAGCGTGATATACGGGCTGTTTGTGTATCGCAGCGGTCCGTGATTTACGTGCTAGGCTCAGGCTCACGGGCTGCTGCATCCCGGTTGTTAAAGAGCTGCAGAGGGAGCGTGCGGGTCCCCATCCACAGGCCAACGGAGGGGGGGAGCTAAGCGGGGGGGTGTCAGGGCCACAGGCCATTCCCAACCCTCTCCCTGTCTGCAGGCACTGCCCTTGCTGGGCTTCCACTTCCAGAAGGTGGGGAGGAAGCCGGAGCTGACGCTCATGTGGGAGCCAGAGAACCCGGAACAGGAATCCATGCCCCAGGTAAGACCCCCAGCACTGGACGGGCTCCCAACACCATGGGGCTGGCGTGGGGGCTGTGCAACATCTGGATCCCGACCTCAGCCTCCTCTGCCGTCCAGCCCCTCTCCATCCCATCACTGTCCCCGCATCTGACCCTTCCACGGCCTCTGCCCTGCCTGCTGCGTGCCCTGCCTTCCGATTCAGTTTCCTCCAGGAATTGAATTAACATGCTGTTTACTTCCTTCTTCCAGATCATCAATTAAGATGTTAAGTAAGATCAGGCCTAAGGCAGCTCCTGTCTAGACCCATCCCCCCGTGCTGGCATTCCGTGCCCTCTCCTGGCACAGCCCTTGCTTTGGGTTTCTGTCCCTGTGATAGCGTTGAGACCCAATTAGGAGGAATTTTTTTGAAGTCGGACTTCCTGAGATGCAGTGTCAAATGCTTTAACAGCATCTAGAAATCTCTCTTGTGTCCCTGTCATCTATTAACTTGGTAACTCAATCAAAGGGAGCAATCCCATTTGTCTGACTTGATTAAGTGATGCTTCTTTGCCAACTTTTGTCTGGCATCACTATAAGATCACAGCTGTGATCCCTGTGTGCTGCCTGGGCAGGGACAGGATGGCTGAATCCCCCCCTCTCCCTGCACCACTCCGGGGGCTCTGCGCTTAAACCCCATTTCCAGCCAAGCCCAGAACAACCCAGGGCTGGATGCGAAGGACTGCTGGTGTGGAGCTGGGCTGACCCTTCCAGCCGGTGTGATGCGTGTCCTGGGAAATCCTTTCCTTCCCAGGTGAGATGTTGCAGCCAGAGCTGGCCGAGCTCCCTGGCTGCTGCAGGCATTTCTGCAGGCCTCCTTCCCTTTGAAGCTGAGCTTTCCCTTCTCGGCTTGCCTCAGAGAAGCCCCCTGGATGTGGTCCGAAGTGGCCTCAGTTCCTCCTTTCCCACGGGAGTGAGTATCACTTACGCCTGAGCAGGGACCTGCATGAAAAATGACGCCCCAGCATGAGCAGGGCCCACTTTGGTTAAGCAAACACTCAGTGATAGAGGAAACTCCTCCGTGAACCCTCCACACCTCCTAAGAAAACACCAAAGCCCTCCCCTGGGAGCAGGCTCGGACCTGTCCTCCGAGTCGATCAATCTCCAGCCCTGGGATGAGACGGATCCCTGGGAGCCATGTCACCTGGACACCCTGCGGCACCGAGCACCCCCAGCTCCCCACCTGGCCCCGGCACTTGCCCTCTGCTTCCCGGTTGGGCTCAGGAGTGTTGGGGAAGGCTGTTCATGGGGAGCCGTGCGGGGGTCTGGTCTGGCTGGCCCTGCCACGGAGGGGGGGTGTTGTCCCCGTCTCTCCCCAAGCTCCAGGCGATGGCCGGGACCTCAGTGGGAATTACTCAGGGCTTGAGTATGAAATGCATTAAAGACTCGGGGGATTTGATGTGGGATCGTGCTGTTCCCTTGCAGCGCAGCAAAGGGATGAGGCAGGATTGCCAAGGGAGAGCCCTGATAATCCCCATTTGTCTTCCCCAGATGTGGGGGTGCCCCATGGCCAGCTGGGGCAGGCAGGGGCTGGTGCTGGGTAGCCAGCAGCTATCTGGGCAGCTGTCTGCAGAAAGATTTCCCTGCGGTTTGCTCCTCACTGGCCACTTTGATACGTTTAAGTCTCAATGGGATTTTCCTGCTCTGAATGATTGATCTGGAGCTGCTGGCGCTGGATGAGCTGGGAAGGGTTCAACAAGGTTACGCCGGTGGCTGTGTGCCACCTCCTCCTGCGGGCCAGCCCCGAGCAGATGGCCTCATCCTGCCCTGCCGCAGCACAGGGCTTGGGGACAGGCTCCAGCAAGTGAAGTCCCAAATGCTACCCCAGGGTAGCCCCTTCCCAGTGTTCCAGCCAGCCCATTAACCATGTCTTGTGGATAGATCTGATCGATGCTTTACGCTTCTAATCCTCACAATTGCACGAAGAGGTGGAGTCAGAGGACGGGGGAGGTGGCAGCAGGCAGCAGCGCGTTCCTGAGCAGGAGGGATTGATTTTCTGGGGTCTTTATTCCTTTGCATCTCTCTCATTCATCATGCTCCCTTCCCGGGTCTCCTCTTGCTGTGGGCATAGGGAGGGTCATTCCCTCCTTGCAGGATGCTCAGCAAATGCTCAGTATCATGTGGAAAACCCTTCTCGCTGCAGCTCACTGTTGGCGCTTGGCCACATTGCTTCATCAAGGGATGATGTGTGTTCTTCGGCTGGAGAGGGGAGACACGGGCGGACTTTAGGGGAGGTTGGGACCCAAGGGTCTCCTCTTGCTGTGGGCATAGGGAGGGTCATTCCCTCCTTGCAGGATGCTCAGCAAATGCTCAGTATCATGTGGAAAACCCTTCTCGCTGCAGCTCACTGTTGGCGCTTGGCCACATTGCTTCATCAAGGGATGATGTGTGTTCTTCGGCTGGAGAGGGGAGACACGGGCGGACTTTAGGGGAGGTTGGGACCCAAAGCTGGGGGTGCAATCACCCACGCTCCTTCCCAGACCGTGCAGAGAACAGGACTGGGGTCTGATCAGGCTGGAATAAGTGGGGATATTTTGGGAGGCTCATTTAGGCTGGTTTGGGTTCCCTCCCTGGCTTTGCAGCCCAGTGGTGTTACCCTTGAAGATGCTGTGTCCAGCCCCAGCTCCAGCCGCACCCTGGACCCCAGCAGAGCTCTCTGAAACCATCCTGCCCCATTCCCCAGCTCCTAATGGGTGCTGCAGTGGAGGCAGCAAAAGCCAGCATGGCTCTAAGCAAATCCTGAGGTGATGCCAAGCCGCCTGAAAAACCCTCATGTCCCCGTCTTTCTCTCCCTCGCTGAAGGTGATCACCATTTTCACGCTGGTGGAGGTCGTGCTGACGTCGGATGATGCCCCGCTCAAGTACAGCGCCCTGCTCAAGAGACCGAGCTTGGAGAAATGAGCACCCCGGGCCGTGCTTGCTCCCCACTGCCAACACTTGCTCACCTCCCAGGCCCTGCACCGGCACCTGCTGGGGATGGGGGGGACCCACGAGGAATTTGGGGTTTTGAGTTTTAAAACTGATGCTGTTTTATTTCTGGTTTGGATTTTAACTTGGGCTGGGAGCGGGGCTCAGGGCTTGAGCCTGCCCCAGGCAGAGGATTTTTACTCTCGAATATTTTTAGCTTGGTGCTTTCTTTTTTTTTCTGTTTTTTAAGGCAGCGGTGTCTGTCCCCAGTCACCTTCGGTGCCTGTGGTGAGGGCCAAGTGGGGACATGCATCCCTGGGAGCAGAGAGGGGCTGGCTCCACCGTCCCAGGTGGGATGTGGTGGGATGCAGTGGGATGCGGCCATGGGGCCATGCAGGAGGGTTCCTTGCAGGGTTGCGTGTCATGTAAGGGTTCCTTGCAGGGTTGTGTGTCATGTAATAAAATCCAGGTCAGCAGCCACATGGGGACTCACGTGGGTTTTATTTTGTCTCCTTCACATTCCCCTGGCCGGGAATCCCAGCAATAATTCATCTCCCAGGCAGCCCCGTGCCTTCCCCCACCTGTCGCTTCCCAGGCGTTGTGAAATCCCAGCACCATGCCAACTCCCCCAGCCCCGGGGTGTGCTGGACAAGGGGATCGGGGGGATGTGTGCTCTCGGATCCCACTCCGGTGGCTAATCCCTCTGTCTGAGCCTTCGCCGGGAGTCACCCCGAGTGTCTGCTCCAGCCCCTCACAGCCTGGCCTCCAGTGTCACCCTGCTCGGGGACTCTGCAGCACCGTGTCCTTGCTTCTCCCTGCGGCTCCAGAGAGCATCCAGCCCCTCGCCGAGGAGCAGCCTCCATCACCTGTGCGGGGATGGGCAGCCACAAGCAGCAGCTGGTGGAGGGGTTGATGTCTGGCGAGGAGTGGTTCCACCGTGCCAGGCAGGGAGGGGACCCTGCTTCACTCTGCCTCATCCATGGTGACAGATGTGACCTTGGCACGGACAGGTCTGCCCTTTGCAGGAGCCAGGAACTGGCCAAGCCTGGGCTGCCCAGCGTGGGATGGGGGATCGGGCTCTGGGATG